GAACGGCAAATACGCTGCTGATGACATTAGCTATACAAACCAGAAACACCCCCTTAATCACATGAAAAACATGGTGATTGTTTATACAAGTACAGTGTGTGCAAAACGGCTTGTGAAATCCTAACCTTTAGAGAGAAGCACACAAGACAACAGCTTATTCTTTCACTCCTGACCCCAGCAAATATCTCGTGAACACCTCCACAAAAGGCAATCCTATGTAAAGAAAAGAGGTAAATGTTCCTCTTGGTTTTGCAAGTCAAAAGATGAGGAACCGAGGCATTTCATTTGAGAGCACGGAGTATATTTCTGCAACACAGATGCTGGCCGGGTAGGATAATCAGGAGCATACTGCTGACGAACTCAATACATCAGATATTCTAAACACGCTCCTTATCCTTTTCCTTTCATGCTTTTCTAAATTTATTTTTTAAATCAGCTATTGTCCCCCCATATGGCACTTTGCTTGTTTATTTGTGAAGTTACAAGGAAAGGACTAGACTTCTCATCCAAGCGCTACAATAGCTCGTACTATAAACTCATCATCTCTGATGGGAACCATTTCCCATAGGAAGTGCTCAGAAACAATTTGTCTGTAGTAGATGATTTTTCTTACCATCAAGTGCATTTCCTAGGAAATACATATCACAAGGCTAAGCAACTAAATTGGGTAACACACAGTGTCCTTCCAGTCTCCTGAGCTGAGTTCATTTGGATACCCAACACATTGGGTGGGTATCCTAAACTATTGCATGTTCTTGTTCCTGTTGGGAAAGAGCTCTTAATGAACACTGAATTGCATTCCAGCTGAAACAGGGCACGTTTTTTAACACAAATACCCACCAATAAGCAGTAAAACAACCTTTTATTGCAGAAAAATGGCCTCGTTTTAACAATCATTACCAATTCTAAGAGCTCATAAAGACCTAACACATGGAATGAAATGCCAATAGTGTGCAATAAAAGACAGCTAGTTCCTCTTGAAATTGTTATTAAAATGTGTTCTCCACTGTTAAGTCCCATTTTCCTCTCCCATTCCCAAATAGCCAGGCTGAGATGAAAGCTTCAAAGGACACTGGAGATTGTCATCCATGTCATGGACAAACCTGGCTCTGCAGAGCCTGGAGGCCAGGAGGACCACTCAGAATAGACCATGTGCTCCCTAAAACCAGCCCCTCTCTGGTGGGAGCATGGTCTGCAAAAGCCTTGTAAACCTATACCTGCTTACAGCAAAACCTTCATTTATGCAGTATTTATTATTTGTAACATGTAATTTTCTTCTACACAGACAGCTTGCATACTGACATTTTCTGTAATTAAGAAAATCTGATGAAAAACATAAATTAAGGAAATCCTCAGACTCTTCACCTTGCTCCTTCCCTGTTTATCATTTCATGCTGCATGTCTGGTCACCTGAATCACACGTTAGGTTTTCTGTTTCCTGATTAGATAAATGGTAACTTTCAAACAAGAGAACAATATATGTGGGGCAGTTATTTAAAATGTGGGGGTGTTGGGTGTTCCAGGAAATGGTTTTAAAATTTGTTTTATTGTAGAGATTTACAAAACACTGAAGACAATCACCTATTAAAACAAACAAACAAATATAAAAACTGTAGTGCTGTGAAAGACCTACTCTATTTTTTTTACAGTTCCCAGGGTAAGCACAACTAAAAAGCTATCTTTTATTTTTAAATGTTTGGTAACTTTATACTTTAAAAAGTAATTTCTAATATTTAATAATAAAACGTAGTGGATACTGTTTTATTACATTTTATGTCTGAAAACTCCATCAAAGGATAAAAAATGTTTTAAAAACATGAAGTGTGAAGTTCTTGAGCTCCTCATAGCTGGAAGGAAAAGTTTTTAATAACTACTGTTTGACTTGCACATTTTAATTTAAAATATTAACCAGGAAGAGATTACACATTTGTATTTTTTGCATCTGCTTTCAATACTGGCACATTTATTTTATATCTGACTTTAGGGCTAGAAATAACAAAAATAAGATTTCTCCTTTTGATGTGGAAGATCAATATTGATGTAATTTGAATAGAAATGTGCCTGCTCTGGAAATGCTGAAGTATCTCCTGAAGGCCAGTTGACATCTACAGTTATTGCCCAGATACTATGATCCATCATTAGGCCAAGAAGCCAAATGAACTGATCCCAATACAAAAGAGATGATATCTATTGGTGAAACAGTTACTCGTGTTGGTAGAGAGTTAAAAGAAGAATTATGTGCAGAAGGGCAATGTGGGCAGTCCGGCATCACCATGGATTTGAAACTATGGCTGTGCTCCACGCACAGCATCACACAGAAGTGATAATAACATCAAGCAAGCCAGCTACTGGAAGGTGAAGCTTGTAGTATTTGATTTCTTAATGTTTCATTTCCTGGCCCCTCTAAAGGATTTCAAACAAGGCTTCTGAATATATATTTCCCAGCTGTCTAATTGAGGGTGGAGATACAACTGGGGATGTGCCGCTGAAAGATGAGAAACGCATCTGCCAATAGAGGTTATTTAATCTTTGCACATGACCCAACGCTGCTGTAGGATACAGCCAACAGAAGAGTATTGCTCTTGAAAGTGGAAGTTTTTAAGTCAAGCCCTTGAGTACCAAAACAATATATACAGAAATACATATTCTTTCAATTGCAGGAATTATGGTAGAAATATTTCTGACATTGTAACATCCCAAAAGAAAGTTTCAGATGAAGCACGCAAGAGTTATGTAGTACCTATAAAGGTCTTATTGGCATTTAACTTCTTTATGGACAAGCACTGCTAAGAGACCAGTCAGCACTCAAAGAATAGCCAATAAAAGAAGAAAACAAAACAAAACAAAACAAAACAACTTCCTGAAGTTTGAAGATTTGAGAGTGCATAAATGGAAACAAAACCACATAAAGAGCATTAAATTGAACCAACTGAAAAACTTCACATAGATTGAGAAAACCAACTATTTCTGGTATCATCTCACTTTTGGCTGCATCTAAACAAGATTCTAACGTTGGAGTCATGCATCCCTAGTAGCAGTCATGACTTAAACATTATTCTAGGTATACTTTTGTATTTGTGCTTTCCATATCACCTGCTATCATACTGGACCACTAGTGCAGTAAATCTCCCACAGATCTTGTGGGCCTCATATTTTACATGACTGGCTTTCAACATCCTGTTTTATGTCTTGATCCTATTGCATGAACTGGTGCCTTGAAACTGTCAACATTCATTAAAATAATAATAATTTTATGGCTTTGAGCGTTAATATTTAATAAAGTAAATTATTCAAGTAAAATTTCAAGTTATATAAAGCAGATTAATTTAAAGTCTCCTCTGGTAATTACACCGAAGGGTCAACATGCTGGCTAAGAATGATAAATTTCACAGAGTACTCATATCCCTCTTCTCTAAATATGCACTGGCAATAATGCACTGGCAATTTTATTTTAAAGCAAATATCCATGCATATTACTATGCTCTGGCACCGTTTTACCTCCATCATAAAATCTCAATTAAATGAATTACCCTTTTCAAAAGTTTGTATTGAAGACAGATCTGTGTAACACAAACCCAGTTTGAATTCTAATAATAATTTTTTGTAGAAAGACAGTAAGGAAGGATATATGAAAATATATACATGTATCTACATGTACATGCACGCACGTCACCACATATTTATGCTCTACATCAGTGCATTAAGTTTCACTATAAAGCTGCAGTAGTTACAGCTGTAGTGCTAAAACTCCCATGGGGGTTTGCCTGTACTCTGAGATTTTGCTGGGGGAGAGGAAAGGGAAGGAATATGCTTTGGTACTACTGCCAGTTCTGCAGAGCTGTAAAAAAGCAATTTTATGTCTATGCAGTAAAAGATTACTAGAGCAAATCTACTAATGTAACCTCACAAAAAAAAAAAAAACAAAAACCATAGCTAATTTGAGCCAATACATGCCAATATATACAGAATAGTTAAATGACAATATATACTGAATAAACAAATGTATTGCAAGGAGAAAAAAGCACATTTTTTTCCTTATTTTAAAACAATAATGTCCGAGATGTACATTTTGAAAACATTTAGATTGCTGCTTAAGGAACCTCTCCCCTTCTGAATTAATTCCTAAAACAATTCTGTTTTGTGAAAATACACTTTGTTAATTAGTTTTTATTTGATGAGATATATAGATTTTTAATATAGGAAAACAATACATGGTGTCACAGATATTTCTGTTATAAAAATCTCAGAGGAATTGGCCTGCCATAGATTTGGATGTATATTTTTTAAATTTATTGTCATTTCACTGTTTTCAGATATCAGAGGTATATTCCTATCCATGATAGATACACTATCTCTATTTTGCAAACAATTCTGCAATGTGCAGTATTCTATTGAATTCTGTGTAATGCAGTACTGAGTCCAGTGGAAACACTTAAATGTGTAAAATTTTGCAAAGGGCTATTTGCATTCTTTTATAACTAACCATCAACATCTAGTCCATATTTGATTTTGTCAAGGAAAATATCTTTGCTTACCAACACATATGCTGTATGAGAAAAGCTAAGCCTCAAGGCTCACCTCTCATAATGGAAAAAATTTCAATATTATGGTTATACACTTTTAAATATTTTTTTATTAGAGTTAAGAGATACAGAAAATTGAAATAGTGTCTTTGCAAAGGCTGCAGAAATTTCAATTTTACTGGTATAATTGCCTCAGTAAGATATTACATACAGAAGCAAGCAATTTTCTTTCTCAGTGTATTAGCTATGAAATTAAATCTATGCAATTATAATGTTATTGTTTCAAAACAATGCGCCCCTTGCTTTACTATGCATTCTAAATGTTAATTTAAGAAATAAACAGAATATATAATTAACACTTCCACCATGTCATGTTTCTGGATGTTGTTCAGTTGGTGAAGCTGAAATGACAAACATGTTGTGAGTGGTGGAGATGACCCCCAGCTCTGCAAAAGGACTGAAGGCACCAGCTCTTACCTGCAGGCTGTTGAAGATGATGAAGAAAACTAACATCCAGAGGTGCCGGTAAGCCATGTGTAGTCCTCCCCACAACCAGGTCACAGAAATCAGGGCAAAGAGGTACAAGACCAAGGGGATCTCTGAAAACCACAAACACAGCATTTCAGCTGGTGTGACGCAGGAAAAAAATACTTTTTAAAGCATTACTGACTCAGGACACAGTTTTGCCATTTCTGGCCAAGCTTGGAGTTCATTCTCCAGTGATGGGCAGCCCTTCTCCTGCCTCAGTTGGGTGGGGGATCCAGGGCTTTTGGGACCCTCCCCTGGGGTCAGGAGACCAGCAGAAGGTCATGGCCAGCTGAGGGGGATGGAGGGGCTGGAGGGGCACAGCCCAGCTCAGCAAACCAGGCACGGGTGCTTTGAAGGTGGGAAGAGCAAAACACAGGGTCAGAAAATGTGCTGACCTTGGGGGAAGCCTGGGACAGCTCTTGGCAAGCTCTTGAACTTTTGGGAGGAAATGGATTTTCAAGAATTGAGGGGAAAGGGAAAAGAACAAAAGCATTATGAGTACAAAAAGCTGCTATGGCTCTGGCAATGTATAGAATTATATGAAAATTACACAAAGAGCTTATTCTCTGATTTGGTATTACTTTCTCTCCAAGCTGAACCCAAGAAGACATCTGACCCTATAAAACTTTAAGTGACAGCCTCTACTCAGTCAAAGAGCCCCTCAAAGACAGACTTTGCTCCAATTGACTTGATTCACCTTCAAAAATATGTGCAGAATCCCTCCTTAAGCACAGATATATACAGCTACATTTTACATTCCCAACTGTATTACAGCATAAAATATTTAAGGTTAAAGCTGGTAGGAAGATGCCCATGTGCACCAAGTTTACAAAAAGGAAAGCAGAAGTTGACTTTCACCCACACCCTCTCCGGTTGCTGGCAGCCAGGTATTCCACGCTGGCCCCTCATGTTGACTGTATTTGCGGTAGACTTCAAAGTCCATGTTTGCCTAGGTTTGCACAGTTTAGGGGCAGAGGTGCTCAGCCAGGCATTGCCCCTCATGCTGCATCAGCAAAGAGCAGGGATGCTAAAAACTGCAGTTTGGGAGGCATTTTGTTTAATACTCTACAAATAGTAAGTGCCTTCTGAATATAGGCAACAGCCAAAGTCAAGACTACCTTCCAGTGAGGCAGGCAGTAGTTGCTTAGGGGCTAAAACTACTGCTTTGGCAGAGAAGTTTATTTTTATAAACAAGGGAATGACTTGAAGTAAAGCATGATGTGAGCAGGTACTGTGCTCCTAAAATTTCCTCTATTAAAGCCTTATATTGCTCAATAAAACCTAGGGTGCAAACTTGGCTTTGCAGGTTGCAGAACAGCCTGGGCTGTTTGATATCAAACTACTGTTTGATGGCATGACATAACATTTAATAAAGATATGTATTTCCTTAGTGAATTATAATGAGGTACTGAGTTACACGTGAAAATTAACATCATGCTAGGGCAGTGGTAACCTAGAACTAGACACAATAAAAGGAAAATATTAAAATAAACTTAGTTCTTCAGAGCAGTTAACAAAGCCTTGATTTTTCAGCCAGAAAAAAACCCCAAACCAAACCCCCCCAAAAAACCACAAAACCAAAACAACAACAAAAAATAAAAATCAAACTACTTATTTTTACTGAAAAATAACAGAGGCCATTAGAGTATAAAGAAAATCAGACTCCCTAAGCAAAGGTGTTTGAAATCTCAGCTCTAATCATCATTAAAGTATTCCCGTTCTGCCACTTACATCTGAGGACATGATCTAAATCCTCTCCAGTTTGGTCACTTGTAAATAGTGCTATTTCTGTGCATGCAGGATTGCTAGTTTGCTCTCAGTGGATGTGAGGATGCAGTGCTGTGAGCCTCAGGCAGCTAGGGACATCTGGTAGGATTTGAGGAGGCATCATGGGTGGGTATTGGTGCCTTAGAATGGCATTAGAGTCACATACTCCATGTCCCAGGAGATCTAAAGGATCTGTGCGTGATCAGTGCACACAACACGGGACCTGTGGAAGACCTATTCCTTATGAAGAGAAAGCTGGAGGCCAGACTGGATAACCTTGGTTGTCTCAAAGGGCAATCAATGCCCATTAAACACCTGAATCACTTCTTCCATGGTGAGGTGAGGTCTGGCCAAAATTTATTAAATGTCTGAAACTCCTCAAGATTCCCTCATCCCAAACATAACACTAATAATACACGTGTATTTTTCACAGCAGCATCAGGGGGGGGAAAAAAAAATAAAGGCTATGTACCTCTGTTATTTTTCTGGGAGGAACTTGATTTTGTTAGATGAATAGAACAGAAATGCAAAACATTTCTCCCGCTGCACTCCACAGGCACTAGAATCCCTTTCACACAAAGCACCTGCCTCAAAGTCCCTTGGGCAAAATGGAAAAACTCCTTGTGGCCTCGACAGATGTAAAAACAAACTTTTCTATAACAGCTACAGATATACATGGCCAACATCAGAATGCTTTTTACAGTAATTAAAAATGCAAAGCCCTCTAAAGTACCAGGTAGTACAGCAAGAAGTAGGGTATTAAGTAGTTCTCTTTATCCTACATTGCATACATTAATGGATCCAAATACTTATTAGACATGTACTTACAAATGTGTGAACATTTTTTTGTGAAAAAAAACCACAACAAAACAGCAAAGAACTGGCAGCCTCAAAGGTTTTGAGGTTATAATAATGAAATTTACCAAAAATAAAAAAATAAAAAAACATACATCAAAAAAATGTCACTTTTTGTAAAGGTAATTCAAAAGGTAAATTCAGTAATTGTCTCTAAAGAAACTCATTAATTTATTTGTGCATGGACATTAATGGAAAGATGTAACCTTTTTGTTTAAATCTCAAAATCATGAAATAAACTTTAACTGCTTGTGGAACTCAGCTGGGGTAATGGACTGGCAACTAATGATCACTACTGAATACAATTCTAAATGCTGTACATAGTCCAAAGTGAACAAAGAAAACTGTCTCAGGAAGCTGAAAAATGGCTTAACTATTATATTACTTTGAAATATGGCTTAACTCAGGTGAGGGGCTGCAGAGAGAAGAAAGCAAATTGTGGAAGGAAAAACTGTAGTCAGTAGAACATGTCAAAAATTAACACCCTGATTTCTGCTTTTAGTGCATAAACATCACCTAAGGAAAAATACCACAGTATTAACCATAAACTAGCGCCTCTGGACCATTGAAACCATAGATCACTGAAATAGCTGTGTACATAAAGCTGAAGGAAATAGATCAATATGATATCTAGATCACATACTTTTGATGTATAATGATCTGACTATTACCTTCAAGGGCTATCTAGATCACATACTTTTGATGTATAATGACTATTACCTTCAAGGGTGTGTGAGGGGGAAATTTGATAAATTCAGTGTCATCTCACCAGAATAGAATTACCACAGGTAAAACCAGAATCAAGCTCACTGAAGCCAACAAGATCTCTATGGCATGTACCTTGAGTAATTCTGATAAAATTAATGCTACTCAGGACAAACATGTTCATTTATATATGCATTATAACAATAAAGATGGTCTGAAGGTAACTGTTTTTTGACAGATTCTGAATGTTTGTCCAGTTTATTATTTTGCTTTTATCTTTGTCAGCAACAATTGCTTCATTATTTAGTATTATAAAGGGTTAATACAGAGATGAAACTTTGGCAGCATTTAGTTTCAGCTCTTTGAATTCTCTTCACCCATTTTGATCAGACAATTTGTTGTATTTAATCAAACAAAAGCTCAGTTACTAGAACAAAAATATCAGAAAATCAGCAGCAATGTCTTTTAAGTTTGTAAAAACAGCCCTGCATAAAGGAAAAGGCTGCTAATAAATAGGCTTGAAATTAACCCAAATAGACAATCTAGTTATCTGTGGTTTCCTTCAAATGGAAAGAAAACCAACATCCCCCCTTCCAAACAAACTTAGAGGGTATTTGTGGGCAAATGAACCTTCACTGACAAGAATTTTACTCTAAAACCAAGTGCAAGCTGTCGCCTTTAGACTACTTGAGTAAACCTTAGCAGATAAAAGACCATCATGGAGCAGTCAACTCAGCATCACTGTGATGTAGGGGAGATACTGTTAAGGAGCTCTGTTGGGCATTATATATTGGCCCCAAATTGCATGCATTCAAACCATGCAATTTTTTTCAATCATTATCACAACTTTTTTTAGTACTAGGAATGGTGAAGGGGTTTATTTAAGCAACAGTCAGTCCACCCACTGCTTAAATATATATATATATATATGAATGTATGCATATATCACCGTCCTGATTATTCATGACACTCCCTGAAATATCTCCTCTTTTTCCTCACTACAAGCTTAAGAAACATTAGCAAAGTTGATGATTCAATACAGATAAATGCAGCTGATGCAGCTCTAGTTGCCGTTTTTTAGAGTTTGAAAACTTACCATAGTCCAGCTTGGTATTTGACCAGGTGAAATTACATACATTCTATTTACCAAACAACTAAATGCTCCCAATGTTTCTCACTTCTTCCTCATTGCTGAGAAAATATTATTTTCCTTACTAACTGATCTATAAAATTTATTTCTTTTCTGCAATGCTTACGTGTCTCAGGGCTGTGGTACGTTGCAATCAGTTTTTATGGGTGGTAAAACTGTAGTTATACTACAGTATGGGAGTCCTTAGTGTAAACACATTATTTTGTCCAGTGACTTACACAAAAATGATGCTGGTGAGAATTTCATAGAATCATAGAATCATAGAATGTACTGGGTTGGAAGGGACCTTTTGAAAGATAGACTGCAATATTTCCATGACAAATTTGGATTAGATTACAAAAATGATGAACCAAGAAAGTTATTAAAGTGCTGGAAAAATTTATGTACCTCAATAGGAACCTAACAGGAGCTGTACTGGGTATGGGAAAAAGTTTATCTGGAATTGCTCCTAACAAGAGCCAGAAAAAGCCAGATGTGATACTTCGCCCAGAAATTCTCTCATTTACAACTCAGGAGTTCCCTAACAGACAGTTTCTTTCTATTTAGTAATCTTCAGGGGACTTCTCTTTCACAAATTCATTTTGAACTAATAAC